CTCGTGGAGACTACGTCTCCCAGCGTGCAACGACGACGCCGTTTCCAGGGCGCCGGCGGGCCGATGCCGCACTGCATGCTGGGAGTTGTTTTGTGAGGGCAGGCGCAGCCGCGTCGGTCGCCATGTTAGTTGCGGGCGGGTCGAGTGCCCGTATGTTGGTGTTGGGTGCCATCTTTGAGGCTGGCAGCGGCGGCGGCGGGTGGCCCGAGCTTTGCCCTCAGCCCGGAGACAGAGGAGCCAGCGGAGCGGGGGGACCCAGCAGCCGCGACGGAGGCGACCGCTCCTTGGGGTTCGGTAAAGTCCCCGCTCGCCGGTAACTAGAGCCCGTTAATAGAACCAGGACCGGGGGCGGCTGCTCACCAGCCCCCGGGGCTGAGGCCGGGCCTCCTGCTCCCCACCCCCCCGGGAGCGACCCGTGGGGACCAGGCCGCATCCCCCCTGCCGGCCCCGGGGACCCTCCCCCGGCCGCTCCCTCAGCCTGGGGCCAAGCGCCCTAGAGAGCCGGGGCGGGGACCCCCGGGGGGCTCCGATTCCGGGGTAAATCCGCCCCCACCCTGGGAAAGAGGGAGAGTAGGGGAGACCCCCCCCCCACACACACACTTCCAGCTGAGATTGAAGGATCCCTGGGTCCGGTTCTTGGGGCTGCAGAGGGAGTTCCTCCCATGCCAGGCCCCCTGTTACTGCCAGGGCGCTGTCCTTCTCCTCCCTTGGGCACGTTAGGTTTTGAGTGAAGAATATTTGCCCCCCCCCCCCCCTTCCTATTCCCAAGCTCCCTGTGGACTCCTGGGAAAGGAGAGTCCCTGGCTCAGGCCCAGATGTTAAGTGGAGCAAAGAGAAGATTCCAGTGTAGGTGGCTCCCTTTAGAACAAAAAGGTCTTCAGAGTTTAAAGGCTGTGCTTCCCGTTTCTGGTGGTACTTACAAGGAACCTGCTGTCAATTACTAATTTTGCAGGCTGCACACAGTACCCCAAAGGGATTGAAATCAGGATCTAGACTAACTCTGGATGCACCCAGTAGCTGACTTAAATTCTTCTTTAGCTCGTTTAAAAAAAATAAACACAAAATCAAATTGTTGGTGATATTGGCCTTGGCTGCCTAAAACCAACCAATGACCAACAAAACCCTTCCCATCAGCTTTGATTTTTAATTGAGAATGAAAATACGAAAATAGCTCCTCATATCATACCTATCAGTATGTGGAGTCGGAAAATCATTCCCGAAACTGGTGCTTTGGGGTGCACGAGTGCACATTGCACTCGGGGATTGAGCTGTGCACCTTATTTTCAGAATAGACTGCTGTGTTATTTGATTATAAAAATGAAATATCCTGGGAATAGTTAATTTTGAAACAGGGGAACTTGGAACTACCACCATGGCATGCGATTAAGTTGGATGTGTATACAACTGATTAGGCTTAATAGACAGTGCTAAATTTGGGACTGGATACCCGAGCATTTCAGGAAAAAGTTGGTGTAGAGGTACTTCCTTCTGTTCCTTTTCCTCTTAAAATAGTACCCATTCAAGCAACTGGTTCAAGAGGAAGTTGACTCCTACAGACACTCAAGAAAAGATCACTTAAGTGGGCAAGATCAGTTGTCAATAATTCCATAGTAAAATTACTCCCAGTTCTGGCATAAATTTTGGAAATAGAGAATGAGTGCATATTCTTTCAGTGTGCCAGTCTCCCCTGTCTCCCCCAGTAGTAGATGCAGCAGCTTTAGTAGTGCCGGCAGTCTGGAATTTATTCCCAGTGCCCACTCTGACTCTGAGGATGATGATAAAGTGGTGGTGGAAGGGGTGGAGCAACCTGCCAAACATAAAAGAAAGAAGGGGTTGCGGACTAAGGGAAAGCCACACCATAAAAAACTGGTGCTGTCTAAAAAGTTTGTTAAAGATCTGGGACCGGCAGGTGCTGTTGAAGCTGCCTGTGCTGCAGCTGCAGTAGTCATGCCTGGTGCTCCTGAGCGAGATGGAGAGAGCTTCTTTATCGAGAGCAATACAGTAAAACGGGTTCTGTTGCCTGGTACGAGAGCAAAGACTTCCATCGTGTGGAACTTCTTCCATGTTGATCCCCAGTACCCCTGTCGTGCCATCTGCAGCCTATGTAAAAAAAGCGTCAGCCGTGGCAAGCCAGGCACCCACCTTGGCACATCGACGCTTCAGCGGCATCTCCAAGCAAAGCATTCTGTGTATTGGGCCATGGCTAATAAAATAAGTGCTACTGGTGGAAGCAGTGTAGGGGAGGAAGAATATGCCTTTAATGTGCCTGTGTCACCAATCTCCCCTGATAGCAGATTTAGCAGTTTGAGCAGCAGCGGGAGTTTGGAATATATTCCCAATGTTCACTTTCACAGTGACCGTGTGGAAGAGGCACTGGGCCAGTTTTCCAACAAAAAAAGAAGAAAGAAAGGACTGCAGGTTAATGAGTTCTACCCAGGAAAACTAGAGCTTTCAAAAAATTTTGCCAAAGATGTGGGTCCCGCAGGCACAACGACTGCAGCCCGTGCAGCCGCAGCAATAGTCGTTTCTGGTGCATCTGGAGAAGACAGAGAGAGTTTTCTCATTGAAAGCAATACTGTCAAACGCGTCCTGATGCCGGGAACCAGGACCAAGACATCAGCTGTCTGGAACTTCTTCTACATTGATCCTCAGTATACCTGCAGGGCTGTTTGTAATGTCTGTAAAAAGAGTGTCAGTCGAGGCAGACCTGGCACTCACCTTGGCACCTCCACGCTGCAACGGCATCTGCAGGCCATGCATCCTGTACACTGGGCCATGGCCAACAAATCTAATGGCATTGTTGGTAACGGTGTAGACGAGGAAACAGTTGAGGATTTTTCTGTTGGTCCTAGGGAGATGGACTTGTCACTTCTCTGTCATAGAAGCTTTTCAAGCTATTTCTCATCTCGGAGGGATAAACTTACAGCCAGTTACAGTTTAACATCTCAAGGCCTGGGTGTCCATGCGCCAACTTTATCTCCTAAGCCAGTGCTTGGTAAAAGAAAGGTCATAAGTCCCAACTTTGGGACTCCGCAAGACTCTCAAACATCCACTACTGAGAAGAAAATTAAATACCATGAAATTCCAGTTGCACAGCAGATAAATAGGGCTATTACAGAATTGATTATTGAGGATATGCAACCCTACTCATTTTTTTCTACCCCTGCTTTTCAGAGATTCATGAAGATAGTGGCACCAGGCTATCAGCTGCCATCTAGAACTTACTTTTCCACAAAGGCTGTGCCCCGGTTATACAATGTTGTGAGAGAAAAGGTTTTCATGGCTCTGGAGAAAGCTGAGTGCAAAAAAGTTCACTTAACCATTGACATGTGGACCCATGAACCAACCACAGACTATCTGACAGTGATGGCACATTGGGTGTCTTTTGAAATGCTGCTGTCTTCCGCGCACAGTGCCAGCAAATCTCCCAGTTGTAGGAAGCAGGCAGCTCTTTGTGTAACTGGCTTTGCTAAAGATTATGCAGCAGCCAGTATTTTACAAGAACTAAATTACCAAATCGGTGTGTGGCTTTCCCCCAATTCCCTCACCCCTGGCTTCATAGTTTCTGACAACACTGCCAATGTTGTGCATGCAGTGAGAGATGGAGACTTTACCCAAGTGCCATGCTTTATGCATTGTTTAAGTTTAGTAATTCAAGACTTCCTCCGTGAGCACAAAAGCATGAGGAGCATGTTAGTAGCTGCTCGAGAGATTTGCCATCATTTTAATCATTCTGTTAAGGCCCGTCAAATTTTGCAGGAGTTCCAGCATGCAAACCATCTTCCGCAGCACAACTTGAAGCAGGAGGTAGCCACCCAGTGGACCTCCACCTTTTATATGCTGAGGCGACTTTTAGAGCAGCAGAAGGCAGTACATGACTATTCCATGCAACACCACGTGGGGAGGGTGGATGGGGTCATCCTCACCTCATTTCAGTGGTGTCTGATGGCTCACGTGTGTGACATCCTTGAGCCGTTTGAAGAAGCCACTCAGGAAGTGAGTATGTGCACTGCAGGTCTTAGTCAGGTGCTGCCATTAGTTCGCCGCCTGCTTTTGACTCTGCAGAACATGCGAAAAGACTTTCAAATCAAAGGTGCCACTGTAGCTCTCGGGCTGGTGGATGACTTGTCTCTGAGGCTTGAAACTGACTCCCGACTGAGCACCGTGCTCAGATCTGAGCATTACATCTTGGCCACTTTATTAGATCCCTGCTTTAAAGACAATTTAGAAGAATTCCTTCCTCAAGGTACTGACTTGATAAGCTATAAACAGATCCTTATTGAAGTAGTATCTGAGTATATGTGCACGTCAGTGGAGGGTTGCTCCTTGGAAGCTACAGAAGTATCAGGCCATTCATCGCTTATAGGAACCGATCCTTTTGCTTTTCACCTTAAGGAAGATTACTCTGGTTCAGATCCCTTCAGTGGCTTCTCTTCGAGTGGTGCAGCTTTAATAGGCAAGAAGAGGCTGTTGTGCCCATCAGCTGCAGCAGTAGTAGAAGAGTACTTTCAAGATGAGTCTTCAGGGATAACAGTTAAAGATGACCCCCTCATTTACTGGCAGGGGAAACTGAGAAGATGGCCTGCATTAACCCGAGTAGCTATTCAGTATCTCAGCTGCCCTCCCTGTAGTCTGCACCCTGAATGTGTCTTCAGCACAGCCAGACACCTCGTTTCAGAACACTCTGCTAGTCCAGGTTTTGACAACATTGAACAGTTAATGTTCCTTAAAATGAACTTAAAAACTATTAATTATGACTATTCCACTCTGGCCTTGGGCTTTGACACAGAGGATGAGATCACTCAGAGTAGCGAGGATGAGATGTTTTAGCCAGAGTTGGTAGCGTCAGTTTGTTCTGCGCTCTGGACCATTTGAAGTGCTGGGACTTGTGCTGCTATGTACTGTTCTTGTACGGTTGTTAATATCTAGCACTTCTTGTGCTTTCCATCTTAAGAGCACTTTACAACATCCTCCAAATGCCCCCATGAAGTAGGTAAATAAGCATTATGTCCATTTTGTAGACCAGAAAACTGACACCTGACTTAGTGAGAAAGGTGGGATTAAAATTGGGGCGTTCCTGGCTCCTGATCTTGTGTTCAGATTGTCCTAATAAACACCACGTAGGTTTTTTAATATAAACATTAATAAAAATAACTATTTTTTTAAAAATAATTAAAAATACAAAAACAGGTCAATAATAAAGAGAGCAAAATAGGATTCATGCTTTAAAATCATAAAGAGCACTAGGTAGGTATCTGTAGTTGATAAGCATGGTGCTGGCAGTAGTAACTGAATAGTGCTCCCTTATGACACCTATTAAGGTATAAAAATGTTCCCTCTCTGGACTTCTCTCCCCCATAATCCCAGCATACTGTTGAAAGGCCATGGACTAATGCTCACTGGCAAACTGAAAAGATGGATGAGTGACTAACATAGTTTTTCAGTGTTGAGAAAGACAGGGCTCTAAAATGAACTGGGCAAATGTTCGCTGTATTCTTGGCTTCCTTTAGTGAGGGTGAAGTGTGTGACCCCAGCTTTTTATTTCTTCTCACTGGTCTCTAGTTATTGTTTTGATATAACTAAGCTCCTGTACAAAATGAAATTACAATGTGAACCACAGCTCAATCTCAATGTGAACACCAGTGTAATTTTCAGGATTTGATTGGCTTTGAAGTTCTTAATCAGTTTCTGATGCAAGCTTGCTGAATGCGCCAGAGTTATTCATTTATTTTAAGCTTTAAGGGGTTAGTTCAGTCGATTTTCTGTAGTATTTAAATTGCTGTTCTAACTAAAGTTATTTAAATTTTTTATTTTTATTTTTTTAAAGTCTAGTTTCTGTGTTAACATTTTTTATTTGTAGTGCTTGTACAGAACTGAGAGGCTTGAGTTGCTTGGTAGTATAATTTCAGTGAGGCTAATTCAAACCCTGGACTGTGTGAAAAGTACTAAGTATGTGCCGAAGTATGGAAGGTAATATGCAAATCCATTGAAAGAAATAATCAAAAATAGCACACATTATCAGACAGACCAGGAGGCATTGTCCGTTACTTGCCAAGAAATAAGTTTTGGTTTATGTGGAAATTGAAATTGCATTGAATTCTGGAGGATATTAGTGAAAGTAAATTTGGCAAAACTTCCCTGTATCTAATATATGTTAATTGCACACCGAGAGAACATTAGTGTAGTTAGATACAGGTAGACAAAAGTTACCTGGGATACAAAATCCAGTTGTAAAGGCAACAAAAGTCAAAAGTGAGTAATTATTTAGATACTAAGGGAAGGACAGAGATTGATTCTTACCTTTTTTTAATTCCCCTTGTCAAGAGTTTAAAACTGATAACTAGTACAAGAACCCAATTTTTCCTCTCATTATTTTAGATTTAGGGAAACTCCCTCCCTTTTCTCCCCTCCAACCCCCCCTCCAAAAAAAATCCTGGAAAAATTCACTAGTGCGTGAGAATAAAAGGGTCTAATCTTAATAGAATAGAATAGGTCTATTATTAATTTGTAAGAACTATTTCATTCGATTTCTTCTAAGGTAGAATTGGAAGAGAATTAGCACAGAAATGTTTCAGTGCTTTTAATGTATGCAATGTTATTGAAGTCATATCAGTCCCAGGTTATTAGAGAGACAAAGTGGGTGAGGTAATATCTTTTATTGGACCAAATTCTCTCACCAACAGAAGCTGGTCCAAGAAAAGACATTACCTCACCCACCTTGTCTCTCTCGGCACTTTTAATGACACAGGAATTGGAATCTCTTACGTTTAGATCTAATGGTCAAAAATGCAGGTTTTATGGCATTCAGTAAAAATAAATAAACTGAAATGTCTCATTTCACAGTGAAATTAAACTGTTTGTGGTAACTGGAAACACCTTTAGGCTCCTTATGGTGTCAGTCATTGGTTGCTAAGAATTGGATCCAAGCCATCCTTTCAGACCTTTGCCATCTCACGGCGATGGATAATAATGGATATATGTACCAGGGAACAGTATATGGTCACAAACCAATAGTATTTGAAAAATGTAAAAGAAATTAAAATTGGCTTCCAAAAATCAAAATCAAAATATTTCCAAATTGTGTCTCATGCAGCTGTGCCTCTTCAAAACTGAGCGTTTCCCTGCTTCTTACAGCTTGCTGTATTTTAGAACTGCTATCTTTCTGCATTTGATTGCAACTTTAAAAATATCTGATCAGAGCTACAGATTGTTCTTTACAATATGGATATCAGACTATGCATACTTTGAACGCTTTGAGCACATAAATATGGATATACTGTATGCATGTACATGTGTATATTTGTGCCAGATCCAAACTTGCCCATATTATAAAGTATTGGCCTGAAAGTGTATTTGTGTGACACTTTTATAACCCCTCAATTTTTGCCATTCCCCCAAATTTTGAGACACTTTATGATGCATTTTAAGTGACAAATAGCCCAATTATATCATTTTTATTACCACATTTGAATATATTGGTGTGTGTATAAACACATTTGTATATATGTATATACATATGTATGTTTATACATACAAGTATGTTTTTGCTATACAGGTAATAAAGATGGGGGAAGGTTTTTGTGTTTTCTTAATAGGTGAAGAAATCTTGAAGACCAGAAATTGGAACTTATTGAGTTTTAAATTAAAAAAAAAAAATTTAAACTGTCCGGCTGTGGAAGATGGATCTTCATTTTTGCAGCCGCTTTGACTCACAAGTTCATCTTTAAATGAACTGTTTTTTGAAGAGCTAACTAACCCTCGCTGTCTCCAGTCTGACAGAGAGTATTCAAATGGACTTTCTTCCTCCAGTAGTTGTAAGATGTTTAAAAGCACAGCCTGTGTCTGAATTGTGGATGAGAGATTTCCTTGGCAATGTGAGGAGAAAATTCTTTCTATCCCTTTATTATTAATTCACGGATTGAGTGTTGGTTCGGCCTACAGGAGAAATTAATTGGAAGTCTTTGAAGACCAACGTTCTTGCCGAGGTTATCCAGGTATGTTAATCTATAGATGTCTAATTTCCCCTTGGTATAGTGTGGGGGTGGGAAGGGAGAGCTCATAACTGAAACTGTATTTTTTTTAAAGAATATGACTTATAACAATAGTTAATCATCCAGAGATATTTCCCAGGCACAATTAATTCCTTCAGAGGTAGGCCCCCAATCCTGCACGTAACTCTGTATGGAGCACAGTTTGTTCTATACTAATAAAACTTTTTAATGTCAATAAGGACACAGAAAAATCATTATTTTATTTTAAATCACAGACAAAACTCATATGACTTGAAAATACTTCAGAACTGGGATTTTTTTTGGAACTGGTCAGTTTCAAGGTAGTCAAGTTAACACTGTCCCTTCAAACTCATTAAATGGCATTGTTGCAAGGAAGAGGGAAAGTTACTTGTCACTTGATGATCTGATTTATTTATTTTTTTATTCCCCTCAAACCAACTTCTCCAAGGTTACTTTTTAAAGAAGATTTCACTGATCACGTCTGAAGAAGAAAGGGTGAAGCCCGTTTTCACTAAGAGAGGAAGAAGTCTGTGTGGAGCAATAGCCCTGATAACTTGAGCTTATTCTAACAATCTGTCCAGCATGTCTAAACAAGGAGATGATTGCTACTTCTATTTCTATTCCACGTGTACCAAGGTGTGTTATTTTTAAAAACACATTTAAAAAAAACAAACTGAGATGAATTGAGTTTCTCAAATAATTTAATATATGTCTCATAGTTAGATTCGAAAGTAGAATCTATCCTGAAGTGTCATAGCTGATTTCATATCCTGTGTACCCGTCTTGTTTTGTTAACCTAGCCATTTGTTATGGAAAGGAATAAATTTCAAAGTAGAATAATAATGCAAGATCATCTGTGTAGAGATAGCATTAATCTTTACCCCTGCTCCTGTTTTTATTAAGCAGTAATACTGATTAACACTTTTCTAACAGTTGGTTGCTAATCCTTACGAATAACTTGTGATGTTGGCATTAACTCCTTATAAAGATAGGTAAATCAAGACATGGAATTGAAGCATCTTGCCCAAGCTATGGAGGGAGTCAATTCAATAATGGATTGGAACTCAAGAGCGCCTGACTCCTTCAGTCAGCTAAACCATTCTGCTTCTCTCTAGAGCTAACTTGCTTATTGGGCCCAATGAACCAGCTATGGGGAGAAAAAATCCATGTCATATTGTGACAACTCTGTATGCTGTTTCATTGTTAAATAAATAAGATCCAGAAGTTATAGACATGACTAAGGCCAATGAACAGATGCAGAAACATATATGCCCTTTTTTGTGGCAGCAGGAAAATAATAGTGGCCATTTTTGCAATGTCATACAGTTTTTCAAGAGCTGCAGGCATCATGCTTCACCCACCCCGTGTTGATTGCTGCCTAATTTTTGAATTTCTTAATGTGGCAAATATATCTCAATTTAAAATTAACACTAATAACTATAGCTCTTAAGGATGATACAGTAAACAGAATTCTATCAAGTGTAAATGCAACAGTAAGATGGTTGAGGTTGGCTGTAGGGAATAGGGATGTAGATGTTAATCTTTTGTGTGTGTGTTGTTTTTTTTATGGAGTGGTTATTGATTTATCTCATTCTTCTATCCCATCCACAATATATCCTGACTTGTTTCATCATGGCCACCTCTAAAGTGTTTGTCTGATGTTAAGATAGTAGTTTAAAATAATGTCAGGAAGGACCTTTCAAAATGTTTCCATAGAATTAATTATTTCTGCCTTCTCCCTGAGAATGCACTTCTCATCCATTGCTCCGTTTCTTCTTCTTGATTCATCTGCCTTTCCATTCCCCACACTAGGATCAGTTCAGTCACTGAGCCTTTTTCCTTCAGTTCAGAAAGTCCCACTTTTACCGCTCTCTTTGTACCTGGGTTTTTCAGGTTGCAACCTCTTATTTGCTTTTGTCCCATTGGCACAGGGGGACAGTTGTCCCTTCCGTCATTGTGAAGCTGCACTGGGAAACGAGACTGTCTGCACACTCTGGCAGGAAGGGCGCTGCTTCAGGAGTATCTGCAGGTTTAGGCACATGGAGATTGATGTAAGTGTTCATTTTGCAAGTACATTTTCGGACAGTGCTTTTTATCTGGTGCTCAGTGAACTGCTTAAACTTAAACTTGTGTTACTGAGGTTCACTGTTGTGGTAGTCTTGTCACAGATGCTTGTGCTGAACATGCAAACACCAAGAAGATGAGAACTGATTTAGAATCATACAAGTGGATCTGATTGGAGGCTCCTCAGTGCAAGCAGGTTACTTTGACACTTCCTAATTTGGTTTGAATTGGAACAATAATTTACAGTAGGAAGCAAAGAGCATAGAGTGGGTTCACTTTTACATATCAGTTTTGCCTGCTCTAAGCAACGCTGGCCTCCAGTGATCAAAGTAAAGGGATGAATTTAAGAAAATTTAAGCCTGTTAGAAAAACAACTCCTTGCTGTGATATCTACTAGACACTGGAATAGTCTCTTCAGTGGAAGTGGCAGTAGTCACATTGGTTTTATTACTTAAAATTGTGGTGGCCCTAGCACTGGGGAATAATTCTGCACTGGCCCTTTGGGAGATGAACTAGATGTGATTAATGTGTCTTTTCCATCTCTGACTTCTCCAGTTTTCTACATAGTTTTTGTCAGGGGCTATAATAGACTGGAAAGTGGAGAAAGGAAAGAGGAAGTGTAGTGACAGACAGATGCAAAATTGTCATTGTTGTAGTTTTTGTAAAGATTGTATATGTGCCCAGAGCACTAGATCGGATTTTTGTTTCAGTTATGAGGCAATGTCCTAACGGTATATTGAAATATTTTATCTTTGTGACATGTTTGACCTGTGAAACGAAGTCATAATATTGCATTGTGATTGTTCTGTGAGCATTCTATGCCACTTGGATGCCATCTGATAACTGCATGACTCTGTAGCTTTTCCAAGGTGACTTTAATGTGGGTCTTTGTTTTGTCTGTCTGAAGAAAAAACGCAGTGAGATCCCTTGCTACTGGGAGAATCAGCCAGTTGGCTGTAAGAAATTAAATTGCGCTTTCCATCACAACAAGGGACGCTATGTCGACGGACTCTTCCTACCTCCAAGCAAAAGTGAGTTGTTTCATTTTTCTCCTTCGGCAATTCTTCCCAGATCCCTGAAGCCTTGTAGAGCCGACCTCTGGATTTTTACTTGCACAGATATTTCCGAGTGCTCCTGCTATTGGTAGTTGAAAAACAAAGACTGCTCAGTTGTTCATGATAGAAATTTAAAATCTGTGGTGGTTTCAAATGGAACACCAGTCTGACCTAAAATGTCAAAAATATTTATTTAAAAATCAGTTCTGAGACCACTGCAACAAATATTACATTATTTGCTTCATTAACAAACAAATACTGGCTCTTAAGGTCGATATTAAAACTTGTTGGCCCAAGAGTCGAAATATCCCTCACCTTGGTCAGTTTTTCTTTGTGAGACAAGAAGTCTTGATATTATCAAAACAGGAAGTAAATTTGTTACTTATATAGCAGCATCGGTGCTGTACAACGGCTGCTTTGTACCAGCCAGCTGCTGATCCTGAACACAAGAAATGGGCCTCCAGCTGTAGTCAAGGCTGAAATGAATAGCTGTGGGGATTTCACCCCATTTTTTTTTTATGCTTAGCTGCTTCTCTCCCTTTTATTAACATTTTCCTTCTGTTTTAGGCTACCTTCATCTCACTCAACCTTTCAGTAGGTGCGAAGAGTTATAGCTTTGTGGGGCTGTAAAAATAATAGCCAGACATCTATGCTCTCTCACCTGGCATATTCATACTGAGCAGAGTCTCTTCTCTCATAGTGAAGGAGAGTTCGGCATGTCTGGAAGTCTATATGCATTATGGTTTTGGAAATGAATGAAGTGCTGGATTCAAGGTTTTAAATAGGCAATTTACAGGTGTTTCTCCTGTTCTTCTAGCTGTGCTGCCAAGTATGACTGAGTCTGTAGAAGAGGAGGTGAAGGTGACCCAGATCTCGCTGCAGCAGAATAAACTGTCTGTCCAGTCCAACCCCTCCCCCCAGCTGCGGGGGGTGATGAAAGTGGAAAACTCTGAAAACGTTCCCAGCCCCACTCATCCTCCAGTCGTAATCAATGCTGCAGATGATGATGAAGATGATGACGGTGAGCAGATTTGATCTCTAAAGCATTTTATATCTCCGATATTTAAATAAATACATACAGCACTGATGCATTTGCTATGTGCCTAGTAATCAACCTTCAGTTTTCATGGTTAGTCCTGTGGTGGTTCTAGTCTAGCATTCTGCACTGTGCAATGGCCAATACCTGGAATATTGGAGGGGAAAGCTTTTCTAAACTCTTGTTGGACAAGGAAACAGGAAGGGAATTTCGTCCTTAAGCACCATCACCCTTCTAGGCAATCCAGGAAGTAGCCTTGTCTAGCGATTAAGAGCTAGGAACTGAGTCACAAGACCTAGATCTTAGCTCTGGCATGGCCATACTTGGGCAAGTCACTTAGGCCAAGTGGCCACTGTTTGAAGTCAGAGGGAGCTGATGGGTGCTCAAGTTGAGTACCCAAAAACCCTGGCCATTTTGGCCTTAACCTCCCAATACCTTCACTTTTGCATAATGAAGAGAGTACTCACCCGTTTGCACCACTTAGATGAAATGTGCTGCGTAAGGGCATGGTCTGATATCTGAAAGCACAAGATTTAGTTATTAGTTATTTGTACTACCATTGCACCTAGGAACCCCAGGCATGATCCATGACTCCATTGTGCCAGCTGCTGTATGCAACCAGAACAAAAAGGTTCCTGGTTTTCCCTGCCTCAAAGTGCACACAGTCTTGTCCAATTCCTGATGCTAATTGAGTGTGAGCTAACATTTTGTCCCTTTCAGATCAGCTTTCTGAAGAAGGAGATGAAACTAAAACACCTGTTCAACAGCCAGCTACAGAAACCCATAATGGATTGCGGATAATTTCTACTCGGAAATCCAGTGCTAATTCAAAACAAGGTATTTCATGTTTATATTGTAGGAGCTCCTAAAAGTCACAGCCAGGTTGGCTCTTAGACCCCATTGTGTTAGGTGTTGATCAAATGTAATAAATGACCACCCCGGTGGTTTGCCTGGCAAAAACCTTAATTCTAGCTATTGGCTGAGCTGCTTAGTAAGGTGATCTTTGGGTATCAGCCACTCTTCTGCAGTCACAAACAGGATAGCTGAGTCAATGCTTAGCTCATTCTTTTTTCAAACGCTTTTGGTTTATGTTGAGCAATCCCAGTAGGCATTGAAACAGGAAATGATAGTGTGACTTTTCAGGTTACCTTTTAAAAAATTCATCTTGGTAATCAATGCTTACATTAAATCTTGCTAGCTTTAGGAGCATATGGAGTGGTCCATGAGTTAGCATGGAGGTCATCAGGCTAGAGCACCTTATGTACACGGGGTATCTCCACTGATTTCAGTGGAGTTATTCCTGGTTTACACTAGTGTAAGACGGTGTAAGATTGCACCCTAAGTCTTTAAATTACCATGCAGGTGTAGTTTTGAGGTTCTTACTCCTTAAAAAGACATCACCAAGGAAGTTCTGTAGGGAAAGGGGGTATTTGTATGGTCATGCAGTAGCATCTTCTGACACCTGAAGAAGTGTACCGCAGCTAGTTCAGAACACAGCATGTTGTGGAAGAACAGTGAGGTGAGGGGTGGAAATGGGAGCACAGAATGGCTCTGGAAGGTGAGCATCTCTGTGACTTAGCTCTCACAGGAGACCAAAGGGGAGTTCAAAGCCTGGATTTCCTCACACTGTTTAAAAAAAACAAAACAAAACAAAAAAAACCTTAAAAGTAAGCCAAGTGACTAATAGCGCAGATGTTGGTAATTCTTAAAAATGCAGCTTCTGCTCTCTTGTGAGACCAAGCAAGCCAAATTCTGTGGCCATGAACTTAGGGGTGGTTTTTTTCTTCTTTCATGTCTGTTAATACTGATTTTTTTTTTTTTTTTTTGGAAAAAGCAGTAAATGTTGAGAAGCTTGGTCTGCATTCATAGACATGCACCATTGCTTTTAAGTTTTGGGTTCATTCACAATTCTGCATTTTCAGATAACAGTTTGAATTTTGGAATAAAAACACTTGAAGAAATCAAGTCCAAAAAAATGAAGGAAAAATCACAAAAACAAGGTGGTGAGTTACTCTCCCTCCCTCCCAAATTCAATGGCACTCCTGTCTCAAGAGAGACAACAATTTTTCCTGCATGGGAAATACACAGGATGACTTGCAGGGTTTTTTTGGGTTGGGATAATCTGTATTTGCTTTCAGAGAAGGACTGTATTGTTTGAAAAAAATGGCTTAAAAATAGTTCAGGTGGTAAAAGCAGAGTCCAGATGGCACAAGCTCTCTTGTATTAGTCAGGCCCTCTAAAGCAGGGAGTAAAGTCGAAATGAGAAGGGTACAAGAATATACTCTCATGCTGTTGTGCATTATGTATCTTTTCCCCCCTATAGCATCTGGATAGCTGGCCAAGCATTGGCTAGGACTATTCTGTGCAGTCCTTTGTATTTACTCTTCTCTTGTGGCCCAGATATGCCATTGATTGAGTGGGAGATCTGTTCATAAAGGTGTTTTTACACACCCTCAATTGCATGATCTGGGCCTTGATTTCAATTTGCATATAAATAATGTTTTTGTTGAAGTGATTTAAAATCAGTTTGCCAGGAATAAAGTAACTCTTGTCTATTTTTCCTCATGTGGTAAGGGAGTGGCTTTTTATAAACTTCCCCCCCGCTAACTTAATATATTTTTGTTTGCTATGATCAGAAGGCCCCTCTGGAGTTTCTGTTTATCCCCTCCAATCCCAGACCATTCCTGGTCCGGAAAAGGAAAACCTACGGACGGTGATCAGGACTGTTACCTTGTCTGCAAAGCAAGGTAATGATAACTGCTGCCTGCTTCCTTGGTTCCATTTTAGTAGCTCCTTAGACTGTAGTGTTGGTCCAGATGTCCTTGCTCTCTCTGGCCAACATGGTGTTCATCTGCTACTGATGGTGCCGAAAGGTGTTTGAAGACTTTATTTAAAGCTTCGAAACCCATGGTTTTCTACAGAAGGAAGAATCCCTGGATATATCGAAAACCTCTGACAGTGCTGGTACTCAGAGAAGCATATAGGTTTTTGACTTTTGCATCAGGACATTCAGCATCTGGACATCACCTTTAAAGGGTTACGGAGAAGTGCTCGAGCTAACCATAACAAGCCAGTGTTACAAAATGTGACCATAATGCTGCAAACACTTGAACATGTGCTTGACTTTACTCCCAACAGGTCTGCTGGTGTGAGTAGAGCTACATATGTGCTCAAGTGTTTGCAGGATCAGGACAAGCGTTTGCACAAGGATATAGCTGCAAAACCAAATAACAAAAGGAGAGAGAAATGAATGGGTGCAAACAGGAGAAAACTGGAGGACTAATGAGAGGAAGCTCTGTGGCATTGGAGAGGGGGCCAGCACTAAACAAGCAGAGAAGGGTGTTGGTGGGAGGAGTGTATGTTCATGAGGTAGTCTGCAGTAAGACACTGCGAAGTTCCATTTTTTTTCAGAGAGAGACTCGTTGCTGTTTGATAGTTGTTTATCCTAGTAAGGAATAAATCTTCAAAAGTGTCTAGTAGACTAGAGCCCGAATATGGAAGTTGTGGTCTCAAGAGGCATTTTGCTTGCTTGTAAGAGTAAAACTTAACTTTGTGAAAACTTCTGCTGTAGGAGAACCTCCCTAACCAGCACAGTATATAACTTGCACACTTGTCATCAGAGCCTTAATAGCAGAAAGCTGAAGCGAGATCTCATATTACGATTTTTACTAAGTATACTACAGTACACTTCCTAGTACATTTCCAAATTGTAATTATCAAAATGTTTTATGATGCAATATTATTGCATTTTTGTTTCCTCGCTAATAGGCAAAATCTCATGATTTACAATAGGAGTCTATCACTTGTGTAAACTGGCAAGATTATCTTATATCTATATATGGCTACTGCTTTTTCCAAATTAAAGATGCTTATGTTTCACTGTTCCAGGTGAGGAGCCTCTGATTCGATTGAGTCTCTCGGAGAGACTAGGAAAACGGAAACCCTCCATAGGTAAGAACTCATAAGCTAGAGAAATAACGCTGGCTAGAGTCAGCTTCCTCTGCACAGCTCTGGTAATGCACTTAAGTTGAAATCTGCAACACCCATCTGCCATTACATCTGTAAGGCTCCAGGCAGCTCTGTTAATGTGGTTTGAAAATATATTTTATAGAACAAAATAAAGCTATAGGAATTTAGTTTAAGGAAAAAATTAGTATGTATGGGACTCTCCCATTACCTGAATGCTGGTCTGTAACATGGTGGCAGTTTCTACAGCCCTGCATAAGGTTGCAGAGTAATTGCTGCTGTGACTCATGCTGACAGGTGGGTCCTTAACTCCAACCAGGCTGCAAAGGGGATGGAGTGTCTCTTTGGAAAATGGGGAACAAGGGACTTGGACAGGTGAGGATTTGCAGGGAAACCCTAGGAACAGCCAAACTTGAGGAGAAAGCTTTTAGGGTAAGGTTTATAGTTAGTTAGATATCTCAAGAAGGGGATAATTTTTTTACTCTATGCAATGTGTATACTCTGAAGCAGTGTGGGTACTCCAGCTGCTTACATAGTCTGCTTCTTTAACTTAAGTCAGAAGCCATCAAGTCATCTATTTGGTAATTCCTGAGCTTGTGGCTTCTTGTATGCTTTACCAGAGAAATATGGTGCCCCCAAAACACCAGAGCAAATATATTGCATTTGCCCCCAGGCTTGTGCAGATATATTGTTCTGGTGCCCTTCTCCTTAAAAATGTCTGCATTTCAGATACTGTAGGACAGCGTTTCTCAAATGCAGCCACTGCGGTCGCATGCGGCCACCAGGCTCTTTTCTTGCGACCACAGCCTCCTGGGGGTGAGGTGCAAAGCAGTGGTCCCTCCCCCAGGGCCATCAGCAGGGGTTTGGCACTGCCCCCCTCTGGAGCCACAAATGCCAGAGGAACAGGCAGTCGGTGTGAGTTCCCCACCTTCCATGTGGCAGTGAGGCTCGGGCTTCAGCCCTGAGGTGGCGGGCGGCAGGCTCCGGTCTTGGGGCTTTGGGCTCCAGCCCTGGACCCTGCCTGCAGGTCCCAGCCCTTGTCTCACCACCCCACTACATCACTCCTGCCTCCCCTGCCCCCCATCCATAGCCCCTGGTCCCCGCTGTCTCCCCACCCACCTCTTATCCAGGGCTTACTGGCTGAGTAAGTCTGCTGTGAAAATTTATATTTGTATGTTTGTTAATATCACTTTTCACAGCCTCCCAGCTAGCTAGTAAGTCTGCTGTGGAAATTGATATTAACAAATATACAAATATATCTTTTTGCAGCAGAGGACTTACTAGCTAGCAAGTCTTTTTTAAAAAGCAACCAAAAAGCAAAAGCAACAACAACAAAAGACTGTGCAAAACACCTTATTTGTGTTTCTATTCTGTTTAGGTCCAATAAAGAATAGAGACAACTGTACATTATTTTTAATTGAGTCTGCAAAAAACCTCTACATAAATAAATTACAATGATTTGAAAATGTATATGTGCATATTTATTTGTTTTTCCTAAAGTCAAGTATTTTAGGAAAAATTGTCAGAACGCCCACCAGCAAAAGTTGGTGGCCGCACTCTGAGGCCACCACAAATTTATTATGAGAACCCCTATAAGTTTATGAAGTGCTTTAGAAGAACTTTCCACCCTGAGAGTCCCTGCCTTGATTTGGCAGTTGCTTCATAAGGGAGAGTTTCTCAGAGAGCCTCTTACCCTCCTGACATCCTTATCTTGTGTTACTTGGGTTTCAAAATGCTTCTTCCACTGAGAACCATTGTGCTATTTGGGAGCTACAACTTAGAAGCAGAAATAGCAGATATTAGCAGCTGGAAAATAAACACAGAAAAATTAAACTCTGTGAAAGGTAAAGAGAGCAGAGCTTCTAGGCGACTCCTCTGTCTTCAAGTCCTCCTATGTATAAGCGCTTGTTAATATGTTCAGATATTAGCTGTTGACTTTCTTTCCACCATGTTTGGCTTTACAGATGAAAGTGGCCCTCCATTGAAGCGTAGCCTTGCTGAAAGGCTGGGAAAGAAGCTTGAATCTCTGGAGAAGACTGACAAAGCACCAAAGAGAGGTACTGCTGCTTAAGAAATCTTTGGGTTTGTTACATACAGACTTCAGTTTGTAGTTCCCTTTTGGTTCTTTGTATGTTAGATGAAGCCTCTCAATATAACTTTGAATTTCCTGGAACTATGTGAGAGACAAAGGAGCAGCCCACCTAACTGCTTTGTGTTTGTTCTTGCAGTTCAAGTCCCCAAGTCTCTTAAGGAGAGGCTAGGATTGCCAGCTGAGCAGACTAGCACGGAGACAGGTAACTAGCACGGAGACAGCTGATGCTCCCCTTTTTCCCGGACCTGCCATTTCTCAGCAATCCGCATTACCCTACCCGTAGCCATTAGAGCTCCTGTATCTGCCAGCATGAGAGTTCTGGCTCTTGACAGCCAATTTGATTCCACTTGTGCCTCAGGAAGCTTTGCTTGCCTGTTTATAAGCAGAAGAGTTTAAAACCAGCTTGGAGACAAGTGAAATAGAAATTGGAAACCAAGAGATGGGATTGGAAATGCCAGTGGAGATACAAGGTAGTGGTAGAATGGGGCAGATTTACCTCTGTGCTGCAGTCATCACAGTAGTAATAGATTTACAGAAAAGGGATCAGAGTGTGCCCTACAATTTGACATACATGCTTCCCTAAACCACATTCACAAGTTTAGGTTATGATTTGGATTCCTTTCTCTTCGACACACTGACATTCACAGTTTTTTGGGGGGCCCTAAGCGGCTACTTAATTTTTTTTTTTTTTTTTTTCAATGCACAGGTCAGTCTTTTCTTTAAATGTTTTGGTTTTTTCCTCTTTTGGTGACAACAGAGAGAGCTGCAAAACCAGCAGGTGAGATCCGTGTGAAAACACTAGAAGAAATCCGTCTTGAGAAAGCCAACCAGAGACGGGGAGAACCTCAAACCAAACTCAAGACTGAAGAGACTTGTAGAACAGAAGATCCTAATCCAAGGGTGAAACCTTCCCCAACAATTAGAATCAAAACCTTTTCTGAGGTTCTGGCTGAGAAAAAAAACAGGGAGTTAGGGGAGGAAGATCAGCTAAAAGTGGAGGAAAAGCTAAAAGCGGAGGAAAGTCCTACCAAGCCGAAGACTGAGAGTGAGCCCAAGAAGCAGGGCACTGCAGCTCCACCTATAGCCAGCAAAGGGCAGCTGGAGGAGTCAACAGGCAAAGCCATGTCAATAGGGGAGGTGCGCATTAAAACATTGGAGGAGATCAAGCAGGAGAAAGCTCTGAGGATGCAGCAGAGTGGAGAGAACACCCTAAATACGCCGCCGCAACCTGAGCTTACTCCCACCGGGAGGAGATTACTGCGCATTACAAAGCTGACAGGTAACAAATGCTTTGGCCATTCCTATAGTACAGCAGGTTCCCCCTTCTTTGCTGGTATTTTCAGTTTACTCAGAAATCACTCACTCCACTACATATTACAGCTAGAAGACTTTCAAAGTCAAAAGTTAAGAAGTGCCAGAATCAAGGTTGCCCATGTCAACCCTACTTGCTGCTTTGTACATATGTAATTAAAGACTGTCATGCATATCATTTGCTATGTCTTTTATGGGGCTCCTGCCTCATTCAGTGAATGCATAGTTATTTAATGTAGAGGACAAAATGCAATATTGAATGTGTGGCCTCAGGCCTCAAACTTTGTACTGAATACAAAATTCATTCCCTCCTGGGAGTTTCTGTGATTCTCTCAAAATAATATTGGAGTCACTGTTTCATGAACATTAATGTATGTATCTTCATAACACCCCTGTGAGGTAGGAATGTGTGTGTGTGTTCTGTTTTTTTTTTACAGCTGGGGAACTGAGGCACAGAGAGAGATTAAGGCCAGAATTGTCCACTAATTTTGGGTGCCCAACTTGAAATATCTAGGACTTGCTTTTTTTTGAGCATGAGCACTTTGTATGTTCAAAGCACAATTCCACTGATGTCTGAGTGCTCAGTGTTTTTGTGTCTTAAACCACAGGCGTCTCATGTTGGGCACCCAGAAAATGGGGAATACACAATTAGTAGCCAGCTGTTAACACTAGTTTGATTGAGGTGCCCAGCATCACACAGGAACTCTTTGGCAGAGGCAGGCATAGAATCCAGTTTACCAGGGCAGCATTCAACCGCCTAACCATGAGACCATCCTTTTTCATCCTATAGTCCTCTGCCTCGTTCAATATACACTTTCCAACCTCAGCAACAAATAAGGCAGGGGTCCTACAGACAACAGCCTCATTCATTCATTCCCTGTGCACAATACATAATGTGCACTGTAGAAAGTGTCTTTCAGATGTAACATTAAATGGGAGTCTCTTTGGGTCATCACAGTGCTTGGTCAGCTGCAAGTAAAAGTTCTCTGGTGTGTAGCGCAACCCAGACCTCATGATTACAGTGTGTATGTACAACTGAATGGAAGATTGTAGAGCACAAGCTGCAGCCAAATTCTTAGTCTATTAAACTGGTTCGTTTGCCCCAAAAGGTTGGAAACCAGTAGTGTGAAATGCTATTCAGGAGATCTGTGGTGTTTGAACTCTTAGAATTAACAGTGTGGGTTTGGGATGTTTTAAAGCACCTGGAAGAGAAGAAAAGAAGTTGGTGGAGTCGAGCATTCCGCCCCTCAGAGCTGGCCCAACAGACAAGGCTGCAGAGGTGAGTCCCTAGAGAATATAGGAAACACTATGTGTCAGAAGGTGCCTTGGATAACATTCACATTCTGTTTACCAGCATGACTTGGCACATACCTCCGATGCAATGGGGATGTCTGTACATTTCTGCATCTAAGTTCTGGAGATTAATCCAGAGTCCTGTCTTCTGTGGTAGCATTTCAAGACAACATTGCAATGACCAAATGGCTTTGAATTTCTTGCTATTTATACGTAGCAATGAATAAGAAGCCCTGGTAGCAATAGCAAAAGCCAGGACTTTGTAATCAGAGGTAATCTGTCTGTTGAGGGCAGCACTGGCAACTTGTGTTTCCCTTGGGCTCCTACTAAGAATGGACTAGATTGCAGCTAGAGTCTTTTGCTTTGATCAAGGGACAACCCATGCTGGGATTTGTAGCCTCTGTGGGCTGCACTTCTGTAGTAAAGGTGAGGGTGTTTGTGAACCTTGATGTAGGTTGCCAAAATGCAGCTGACTGATAGGGTGGTGCTGAGCTCAGAGTCCTCTCCATAGGAATTGCTGATTAGGTTTGTGTTCTGAAGTCATCCTAGATTTGTCCCATCTTGTTCCTCTCTTATTTTCTCTAGTCTTCAGATGAGAGTGCAAACAACTCTACAGTTCAAATGAAGAGTTCTCAAGAAATAGTGAGGGAGAAGCGGCAGCTGAAGCCACGGCAGAAGGAGAAGCTCCAGAAGGAAATATCTGCTATGTCATCCCCTGGAGAAGAAACGATTGAAGAGAAGAGCCCAGTGGCCGGAAGTCCTGAATCCACTGTGACGCCTGGGGCAACTCGTCGGTTGACAAAGAGACTGACTGTGAAATCAGAGGAAGCAGTGATGGAAAGTCCAGGAACAGAGGGTTCAGTACTACCAGTGAAACATGCAGCTCAGTCTCTGGAGCGAAAGGCTAAAGGTGAATGTCATTTTGTGTAGTATTTTCTGTAAGAGGGATTTAACTTTAGGGGCTGGATCACTTAATCTGTTCCCCAAATCACTCAGTTTTTTTGCTCAATATTTCTAGGGAAAGATGACCAGTGCTCATTCTGCAGTGTAGTCATAATTGGACTTTTCTCATCATCACAAGTGCAGCACAGTATGATGCATATTTTGTTCAGTTGGCAAAATGGCCAGACCTTGATTCAGAAGAAGAATGGAGTAGTAAAAGGGATACTGCCGGTCTGGATTTGATGCATTGGCACAGTAGTGTAACAAGTTGTGCAGATCCTTGATGGGGTGGGAGAGAGAGCCTACACAGAATTTGCCTGTTCTGTTTCTGCCCAGCTCTCGTCTGTGTTAACCCTTTCCTTTCTGAGAGCCCTAAAATTCCCAAACTTTAAAAAAAAAATCTAACTAGAAAATGGCTTTCATTTGTGAACACTGAAATTTCAGTAAAGTTACCCTAGAAAAGTGGTGGTGTTGCTTAGGATCTTGACGCTGTCCAGATTTTCTCTATATTCTCCCTTTTATTTCTGATTGGTTTATGAATTCATCCCTGACCGTTGAGTAGTGTTGCTGTACAGCTCCTACATTCCACCCCAAAGATGGCTGTGTTAATGGAGGTGAAGTAATTTCTCTGAAATGTGTTAGAGCTGATAAGATGAGACACTGTAAGTCTATTAGCATTTTTATAGATTGCTGACTACATAAGAACAGAACAGCCATACTGGGTCAGACCAAAGGTCCATCTAGCCCAGTATCCTGTCTTCTGATAGTGGCCAATGCCAGGTGCCCCAGAGGGAATGAACAGTCTCTGGCAAACAGAGACTAGGGCCACCCTTCCTGCCCATCCTGGCTAATAGCCATTGATGGACCTATCCTCAATGAACTTATCTAGTTCTTTTTTGAATACATGTATTTGAACTGCCAAAGGGTTAATTGGGGGTTACAAAGTGCTGTGCCTTAAACTCATTGCTGGCTTTACAGAGGAGCAAGGAAACTGCATCAATCCTAGGAACCAATCAGCTTCTGTTCCTTTCCTTTTATTTTCCAGCCAAACCCAAGGTGACTGTGAAGCCATCAGGCGTGAAAACCATCTCCCCTGCAAAACAGGCCCTGAAACGTAAGGTGGCTGAAAGTCATCCTTCTGCCATAGCAGCTGTGAAACCACTAAGCAGCACTAGCAGTGACTTGAAGGAGCTCCCAGCTAAAAAAGCAGCTGTGGTAAGGAAACTGGCTTACAAGCTGGACAGCCTATGGTGAAACCTGAACAGAAGTGTTTCACCCTGCCCCTAAGAGAAGACCGAAGATAGATATAGGGATGTCTTATCTCTCTTATGCAGTTCTGTCCAGATCTGAGTCCCTTACCATACCATGGTATGATTTTGATGCATCTTCCTCCATCTTTTATTAGATGAGTAACAGCACTTTTATAATGTTCTTAGTTAAATGTCTTCTCAGTGGAGTGAAGTACATACCACTTACGTGCATTCCAGAGTGGCTAGTCAACTACCGCTGAAGACTTCAGGCCCTTGATAGGCATCGAGTTTTATGCTCACTTTGTCTGGGAAGGCCCAGAATTGTTTTGGCTTGGGGCTCAGGGATGATATGGCTGTGCAAGGATGGGGCAGGCATTATACTGGAGGAAAAGAAATCTGCCGAGAAATATTTTACTTTTGTACCTTATCTTTCATCTTGCTTTTTCCCAGACTACTGTTCTAGCCGTGCCAGAGGATAGTCCGGCCACTGTACCGGAGAGAGCAAAATCCAGAGACAGGTAATGTCTGCAACTTGCTCCTGTTCCTGTTAGAAAAGGTTTTTGTCACTGGGGTTTCGGTTTGAAACTTCAGTACAGTCTCTGCCTGACATTTGGGAAGATGAGTTTGAGGTCATCAATGTTATAATATACCTGTTAAGCCCTGCAACGTACCCTGCTTTAATTTTCTAACTATTTAGCAGACTCTCCTTTGGATTATCTTTTAAAACATTTGAGTTGATTTTGTTAATGTTGGTGAATTGGCATCACTTGCAGTAGCATCTTTCTGGATTCCTGTGAGGTCCTGAAAGAGGCGAGGGTGGCGCTGGAGTGGGATGAAGATAGGGGAAGACTTTCCTGCTGGCTCCTTCTCAAATGCTAACTAGTAGCTGGCATTCTCTGTGACCAAATGCATGTCTCAGCAGAAGGCTTTGTAAGAGAAGAGGGATATTAGGTGAAGAAAATAACGCAGAGCTGGGTGAGACAAGTTTATGCAGCACCTGGCTGAATCAGGGCTGACTAAAATCCACTGCTGTCAGCTTCTTACTGTCAAGAGCACCAAATTCATCCAAATGTGTGATGGAAAGAGTAAATAGTTGATATCTGTTTTAACAAACAGTTCACAAAGTTTTATCCGTTCACATTTTTATAATCAGTTTAGTAAATTAGTGTAAGTGTATTGTCTTTGGAGGCAGAGCATTTGGGGATCTAGGAAAAAGATTGGTTTAATTCTCATGGTTGTGTCTAGGTCCCCAAACTGAGAATGTACCTGTAATATTACGTTGGACTCAGAGACAGCCACTGCTTAATTACACAGCAATTCCAAAGGATTGGAGGTGTGGGGGGGAACACTGCAGTAAGAGAGGGCGGTTGGCAAAATAGATATTTTCAATTAAAGAATTGCTCTCTCTCTTCTCCCAAGCCCTGAGTTGCATATAGGAAGCCAAGCAGCCTCTGTGGCTCAATCAGAGATGTCAAGCCCAACCTCTTCACAGGCAGCAGTCAAGACCCGCAGGCTGAGCTCCACCACAGCTGGGAAAGCACCCTTATCCGTAGAAGATGACTTTGAGAAGCTGATTTGGGAAATCTCTGGAGGCAAACTGGAAGCAGAGATTGATCTGGACCCAGGGAAAGATGAGGATGACCTCCTGCTTGAACTATCTGAAATGATTGACAGCTGAACCAGACTTATACTTACCTTTTAAAACAAAAAACATTTTAAACTCTATTTTGTTGGATACCCAAGATAAACCTTTTTCTTCTATATGAGGCTTTGCCACAAGTCTTTAAGTACACTTGAACTGATAGAAATTGGCAATATCTGCACTCAATTGTCGTTAATTTCCCTGCAGGTCAGAGTTAAGAGCCTGTGTACGCATCCTGTTTCCACAGGCGGCTATTTTGAATATGTGAGGACAAAGCACTTCAGAGTTTCAGGCCAGAAAGATCCTGGAGCCCATCTATAAAGCCTGGGGGTGTAAACTTCTTCCACTGATTTAAGGCTGTGAAGGCTTTAAAAAAAAAATTTTTTTTTTTCTCAGCAAGGTGTGCAAAACTCAGTGTGTTTCAAAGCTTTTGGCAACTCTTGAGTTGTATTTGTCCTTCTTGTTTTAACATTCTAGCAAAAAATAATGAAAAAGTGGGGAGAGAAGGATAATTACTACAGTAATGTGGGCCAAACATACTGCCAAAGGTGCGGGATCGGGTTAGTCCATCCAGCCTTACTTCCTTTTAATTATCAGGGACAACACAATATCAGTATGGAAAGCAGCAGCTATACAGTACACGAAGACTGCCTTCCTCCCTTTGAATCATACTGTTCTAAATCTTGGGGGGTTGGTACTTTTTGTTGACTGAGTAAGGTCCTGGGGCAACTGGTGTAACCCCTCTTGGTCTGCTGCACATCAGTAAATTGAAAATGGGTCTTAAAAGTGCCTCTCATTTCCAAGAATCTCTTCCCTCTTCTGCTGACTTTTCTTCTACTGAGAAGCGGTAGCTGCTGGCACTGATGGGGAAAACACTTTTAGCTTTCTTTGAACCCCAATTCGCTGTATTGGCTTGTTTGATTTGATGTAGCACTATGCTGGAATTCAGCCAATAGGAAGCATGTGTCAAGTCAGGCAAGTCTTAGAAGTGTCAGAGCAAACTCTGTTCCCGCCCCTGTCCTGTGGATACCTTTCTCTCTTCTCACCCTTCATTTCTCTATAACTCCCCCCTCCTCCGGCCTGAACTAATTATTTAGGAAGTACACACCTGGGGTTGGGATGTTAGGAAAACTAGTCTTCTGTGCTTGACAGTCCATTTGTCTGAACTGTGTACATGGAGAGAATGATTGAGATTGGGGTGTATTGTGTATCCCATCACCTATGTTCATTTTGACCATAAGATTTTTTTTTATTTTCTTAAACCTTCAACAAACTAGTCCCTTCCGACTTTGAGCTGTGAGGATATAGGTGTGGCAAGGCTTTTGCTGCTGGCAGGCTTAAAAAAAAAAAGTTTAATTGTATTGTAAATATTTTGTCTTTGGAAGAAAACACGTACATGATTTGATAATCCACTGTGATGTCTTAGTTCTTATAGGGAAGATTTGAACCAAAACCAATTTTTAAATTAAAAAGCCCACTCCTGAAGAAACTGCTGTTATAGTTCTAGGAGGGACACCACGCAGAAAGCTTCATCCCAAAGAAGCCGAAAAGCAACAACCCTCCATCCTGCTGAAGGACTTTTCACAATGAGACTTCTGGTTGCTTGTGCACAAATGGAAGCAACTTTCAGAGAGAGACATATGTATGAGAGATTGTGATCTAAAAATCTTTTCCCTGCTGCTTGTTATCTCCCTGTGTTTAAGCAGAATATTCCGTTCCATTGTCAGCTTTGTTCACTTCCTTCTCTGGATGAGAAGTCCTGTCTATGAAGGCAGAATTTTATGTATGCCATTACTTCTGTAAATATTTTATTCTTTCATTTTCTATTTAGTTTGTATTTAAGGCATTGTCTTACATGTAATCTGAACCATACATGTTCACCATGAGTTGGGCTGTTCATGAAAAACATTACTCGTGTTTTTAAATAAAGCTGATGTAGGAAGTCTTATTTCAGATGTTCTCCGTGTATTTGAGTAAGATGCAGAGGTGGGCTGTAGGTGCAAACAAAAGGGTCTTTTGGTTTCTACAACCAATAATTTCTTTAAAATGTTAGCAGTAGAGGAAATGGTATGTCCCAGTGGTAGGGTATGCAGAGAGGAGAGTCAGGGTCAACTTGCAAACAATGTAAGAGGCAGTGTGACTGTGTGTGGAATTCACAATACTTAACTCCTTTAGTCTCAAAGCACTTTACAAAACTGGGAGAGACAGAAAGTGAAGTGACTTGCCCAAAGTAACAGAGCAGGTTGGTGCCGGAGCTGGGCATACACTTAAGCCCCCAAATGGAGGGGGTGAAGCCACTTGAAAAGTCTTAATGTATTTGCATTCCTCAACTTCATCATCATATCTTCTGCAAGTGAGAGCGGTTGTATTACTCCAATGTACACCTGACAAACTGCAGTGATAACACACATGTATAGCCGCCTATAGCTGGGGACAGATCTACTTAGGTGTGAGGAACAAAAGGACAGCTAGGCAGCCATACTTCACCCACCATGCAAAGGTTCGTCTTGATCTGAGCATCTATGATCCACTGCAAGGCTCTCCGTGAGGATGCAAGGTCAAGTGAGTGGAATTTAAGGGTGGTGTCTCGCTGAGATGTATGGCTATGAACTATGCAAGTGGCCTTGAGTGTCGTCTTTTGGGCCAAAAGCTCGCTCTCTCTCTTTTTATTGTTGAAAATTACTCCTCAAAGGATCCTGGTGCGAGTGAGGCTCCTGTCCTAGTTATCTCTGCAAATGGCAGCCATCCTTCAGCATTTGGACTTTCCTGCCTAAATAAGGGGGATGTCAGGGTCACTCAGTGCACCCCACCTGGCCTTGCCCCATGCCTGTGTTGCATGCACCCTGCAGGCTCGGGGCCTGTGCTCTCTGCAGGGGCTGAATTCCCAGGCTGGGGGGCCTGGTCTGCACCTGCGCAGGGTTGCTGGTGGGCTAGCATGCGCTGCGGGGCCTGGCCTGCAGTGGGGCTCGTGCCCCCAGCCAGAGGTCAGCACGGGAGGCCGCGCACCGCCGCTGGACGGAGGCACTATGAGAGGCGGGAGCAGTCGAGGCGGCATGGAGAGTCCTCCAGTGTGCCAGAGTGGCCGGGAGAGGGGGCGGGTGGGAAGGGTTCCCAGCGTTCCACAGGCAGGCCCCGGCGGCTTCCGGTCTGCACCGGAAGTCTGAGCTGCTGCGGCGCGCGCGTGCGGGCTGCTGGTGGTAACGGTTTCTTTCCGGTCTCTC